ATATTTGCCATATATATATATATAGTTAGTGTTGAATTTAAAATAAAAATAAAAAATAAAAGTGGCTTAGAAAATCAAGGTTGACATGCAAGTTTGAGAGGAGAGAAAATTGTTTATTATGAAAATCTCTATTATATTATATTATATTATATTATATTATATTATATAGATGGTTGTCCGCGGATGGTTCATGCAAAAAATTGGTACGCCATGTTACAAATTTGCCAACTTTTGAGTGTAATGATGTTTTACTACTTAAATGTCGGGGAGCATATCCAAGGGGCATAACCATGCATAATCTTTCGCATCACCATTTATGGAAGGTCTCTAATATTTCATTTTATAAACTTTAGCGCACTATTTCTCTTTCATTTTAAGTCATATTTTACCAGTCTATATCACGGTGGTAATGATTGATATTATATAAGATCATACAACATATTATAGTGTGGTGGAATACATGATATAACTTCAATTTGTACCTCAAAACACCAATACTTGAAAGTATAGTAGAATTGCTCAAAGAGTATATGAATTCCGCAACATTATAAAATTTATTTGAGGACTGTTGGAGATGAAAACAAATAAAAGGAAAACTAAAAAATCACCAATCACAAGGCTCCAAGTGGCTTATGGCACTACTCTTGAGCATGGACAGGAAACCGGATCGTACTAGCCGGTTCAACCGGAAACCGAACCAAAAGTGGTATAGTAGGCTGATTTTATCGTACCGGTCGTTTTTTTTCCAGTTTGACCGGTACTAAAAGAAAAACCGCCCGGTTTTGGTCCAACCGACGGTAGCCTTATTGGAAGAATATGTCCCCGTTTTAAGCACTAAAATTTTAAATTAAAAAAATCGGCATTCAAACAGCGCCAAAAGACAAAACACTAATCCAAAACTTCCATCGTTTCCTTCTTCCCCTGTTCCCCAGCCCCGCCGCTCCTCTTCTCCACTTCCTCTGGTGACTGGCGACCCGCGACCGGTGAGAGGAACGAAGCAACCCACGACGGCGAAAGGTCGAGCCGATCCTCGCTCCGCCGCTCCTCCGCCGTTCCTCTTCTGTTCTTCTTTGGCGACCCATGACCGGCGAGTTGAGTCGTCCCTGCTCCGCTCGGCCGCTCCTTTCTCTCCTCCTCGGCCGCGCCGACCCTGGTGGAGTCTCCCACCCTTCTCAAGAACGCCGCGCCGATCCCTGCTGGAGTCTTCCTCCCCTGCTCTAGAATGGCGGATCAGAGGAATACGTCGAGCTCTTTTCCATCCCAAAGCCAGCAATAGTCAATTAATCTGATTAATTAGGCAAGGAATGGCTATTGCTCTATGTTGAGAAAATGAGTCACCATCGTTGTATAATGCTCTTGGTTCTTGGTTGGTCCTAAATGAGATGATTTACATCTCTCTAATTTGTTCCCCTTTTTGGTGGCAATATTTGGTGAAGGCAGAAATATGGTTTTTTTAACGATTGTGTAGTTTATTCAGTATGTTGTACTTTGTTGATTGTTATATTACCTATGACTATTTAATTTATTCAATGTCTATTTAGTTTATTCAGATTTGTTATCCGGCATATTCCGGTATTACTCCGAGACGGTATCCTGAATCTGCATATACAATTTTTTAACAAAAAATATTTTTTAATTACAAAAACGATATTTTATCGGCCACAACGGTTGAAGCATGGTTGTACCACAAAATAATCTACCACAGAAGAGTCCGGTAGGACATCGTTATGATAACCGGAACCATGCTCTTGAGCCACTTATAAATAACAACCGATGAATCCCCCAATACGCCCGGTCAGCAGCGATAAGAAAGCAAGAAACTTAAAACAGAAGATAATTTAAAGACACAGTTCCCGGCTCCTACCAAAAGAAAAGACAAATACACAAATGGCCCCAAACCTTCAGAATCAGTGCAAATCCGTCCATATTATCTTGTGCTTAATTACTTTCCCCTGGTATGAAAATGAAACCAACCCCCACGTTTCTGCTGCCGATTCGTCGATGCTATGGTGACAGATTGTGATTCCACTTCGCCAGAGAGTAAACTAGTTACAGTAGCAGCATCCTTTCACACATTTGGTTCCTTTGTCGCACAACAGGAGTAAGCCGCAGTCGTCACAGAGCCCGATGTCGACCCAACTTGTTCTGCACTCTGGGTAATCATAATAATCCGTATAAAGAGGCCGTATGGCCTCAGTAGCAGCAGCCGCCGCCGGCGAGATCATTGAACCATGATCATCATTACGAGCCGCCGCGGCTGGAGCAATACCCTCCTCCTTCTCCGAGTAGGGTCGTTCCAATGATCTCGACTCGCCTGAATGCCAAGAAGTCACACCTGCAACAGTCCAGAACCATCGAAATTGTTAGGAGAGAATCCAAGTACCACATCGGTAATATAAGGGAAGGGAATCTTGTATATTAGTGTCCACCAAGCTCATTAGTACAGGGGGCTTTTCGGGACCAACAAGCTCACTAATATGAGGCTTTTTGAGGAGGATACCCAAAAGACTAAATTCAAGCAGGCTTGGTCCAAAGCGTAAAATATCGTACTAATTGAACTGCCTAGTTTTAACAGAAAAATCCATGCATGCACGGGGGATTTTTGGGGAGGATACCCAAGAGTAAATCCGTGTGGGCTTGACCACCAAGCTCACTAAATATGAGGCTTTTTGAGGAGGATACCCAAGACTAAATTCGTGCAGGTTTGGTCCAAAGCGTAAAATATCGTACTAATTAAGCTGCCTAGTTTTAACAGAAAAATCCATGCATGCACAGGATTATGTATGTTATCTATATGATGAGTTTTGTAATCTAGAGAAAAGATGAGGTGCTTACAAGAAAGAAGAAGCAAGGTAAGTAGGAGGGTGATGATTGATTAACTTGGTAATATTGGGCATCGACATGGCTAGCTACTTATATCCAAGAGTAAATCCGTGCAGGCTTGGTCTAAAGCGGATTGTACCATACTAATTGAGTTACCCAATTTTAACGATTAAAACATCCATGCACAGGATTATGTATGTTATCTTATAAGATGAGTTTTGTAATCACAATTATATAAGATGTATAGAGAAAAGATGAGGTGCTTACAGGAAAGAAGAAGCAAGGAGAGCAGGAGGGTGATGAACTTGGTAATGTTATTGGGCATCGACATGGCTAGCTACTTATAATAACTGCAGTTTAATGTTGTTGGTATGTGTATACGTAGTTGGATGATTCTATGAACATTAAGCAACTGCATTGCTAGTTATATACAGATGATCATATGTATTTACTTGGGGATAATCGATGCATGCAGTTGATCATTAGATCGCAAATGGATGGTTTTGATTTGGGCAATTTACAGTTTTAACGGTTTCTTCTTGCTCTTTTCTTTGATGAGCCGTCCACGACGGTTGACTACATAGAGAAAGAAACCATTTGGTAATGATAAATGTATCGATTCTGGTATGCAACTGAAAAACGGATCGATGATACGACGGCTGAGCTGCCGGCGCCAGTATACTTTTGGGCATAGTGACAAGCGGATATGTATTGGTTTACCATTTAGGACTACTTTTTTTTTACTAGCTTATAACCCGCCCATTGGACGGAATGTTCATATTTGATTATTTATATTTTTATGTTACATTTAAGCCAATCAATCGATTTAATTTTATTGACAATCCTTCGATCGAGATGATATATAAAGAAAGAATATATAGGCCTAACATTTGGAGAAATACTATCATCATTTAAGAATATAAAATGTATCATTAATTCCATTTTCATAATGTTAATTAAGCCCTCGTTAAAATGTTATTGGTTAGTTGGTTTTCAAGAAAGAGGGTATAAAAGATCAGTGAAATTCCACACGACCCATAAATAGTTTGAAACTAAATCTTAAATCTCACAATCCTACATAAGGGTTTAATGCGCTCCTTCTATGAACAATATGCTACTAATAAAAAAGAAATAGAGAGTTGTTGATTGAAGTCAACTATATACTAACAACTAAGTTAAGAGGGGACCATCAAAACTTGAGAGCAAACGACAAAATTAGGGTTATCTCCAACACACTAATAGACTCAATCAAAGTAATAAGGCACAAAATTAGACACTCCTTGTCTATCAGTTCCAGTAGGTTGAATAAAGAATCGACCTACTTCAATAAATCAATCAATGATTCCTCGTTTTAAGATAAAAATATGTTGTGATAGATGTAAAAACCATAAACATAAGATCCAATAGCCACCACTCTTCCTTGTACAGCCAGAATTTTTTATTATCTCAAGAGACATATTTTCAACCAAAAATTCAATTTCTAATCCTCCTTCTGCAACTCCATTATTTATTAAACTATTTTACTTTTCCAACTTAAATCCGCAACAATAATCACTGACGTGCCAAGAGATATCAGATGATTGATTTTCAAAGGCGGCCTTGTATTGGGAAGTGAAAGGGGCGCAAACTATTGTACGTTGGAGGGAATTTCCGAGGAAGTTAGAAAGAGATAAGAACAAAGATAAAACCACAAATTTAAATTGAAAAATGCAAGGACGCAACACGTAGTGACAAAATTAGTTTTTTCCATGTTAGCCAATTGCCAATTTACCTTTAGCAAAAATTAAGGAGAGAGAAAGAATTTTAAAATTGAGATACATGAAACTCTACTATGAAAATTGAAGTATCAAGCACCATAAAAATACATACGGTATTCTTAGTGGGCTTGCTAATCATGATGGAAAGTCCTGTGATTTTCAGAGAGTTGAACTTCGTGTATATTTTGTATTCAAAAAGACACAACAAATTTGTTAAGCATAAATGGTTGTGATTGTTTTCCTCTTCTTTGTTTGAAGAGACCCGGGTTCAAATCTTGATGTTGATATTTTTTATGTGAGATAAATAATTAATTGTAAAGACAAAAATGTCCTTCCTACTTTCACTCTCGTTGCAAGAAATTTGAAATGAAAAAAAGTACACAAAAGTGTACTATATATTATTGGGGGATTGGAGCCGTTCCACTTTAGGTAACCAGAGTGGAGCGGGAGCCCATAACTGACGAATTTAGGTATCCTACGATCCACTGGATAACTTATGGATGGATGATCCTCCATAATTCAATACTAGAAAGTTATTAAATTTCTTTCGAATAAGCATTCAATACTTACTATTTATAGGAAGTTATTAAATGTATTTCGAATAAATTATAATGGACTATATTTCTTTCATTTTAAGTTGAAATAAAAAATGCACCAAAAAATCATATTTTGGAACAAAAAAAACTAGTCCAAATATGATACGAGCACGGATCCGATACCCGTAGTTATAAAAGTCATGCAGCCACAATACTTTTATGATTTTCTGAACTATTCTCAACAACACAAAAAATTAAAGGATAAAAGCGGAATTGAAGTGCAATCTCATACCTGGGAGAAGGCTCTATCGATATTAAGGTAGAATCTCAACTACAATCAAGATGAATGTTTGATTGATCCAGAGACAACAAGAGCCAAAATTCACAACGTGATTGGAGCCCACCAACAACGAGAGCCAAAATTCACAAACCAAAAACTTGATGAACTAGGGTAAAATTTCAATAATAATCAAAGTCTTCTATCAAACTCTTGTTTGCAACCCTTTCAATGGGCCTGGAAAAATAAAACTAATAAAAAATACGAAAAGGAAAAGAATATTAAACACAAAAGGTAAGTTTAACTCTGTCTTCCAGTTCCACGGTCGTGGAATTGATGTCCTTGGTCGGGGAACTCTTCTGCCCAAATCCCATGTCTGTCCTTCTATTCCACAGTCGTGGAATTGACTCCCTGTCCGTAGATTTTGACTAATCACTATACGATCTTCAGACTGCTCGTTTAGTGCCTAGGAAGCTTCGATCTTCTCATCAAACGCCTTTACGATTTTTAGCAAGACTTGTACTCTCACCTCCAACTCCTAGCTTCCCTCTAATAGCACCCAATATGAACGAATCAGCGTACAAAGTAGGTACCTTGAAGTTGTTTATGCTCTTACCCAAACTCATCACTTCCTTCTTCCTCGATTTCAACACTACTTGGAATGCTTGGTGACTCACTTCTACTGTCACTCCAGGAATTGGCCAAGTGAAACCACTTCCTAAAGCGTAGTATAGCGGGTTTGGGTTTAATTATCAACCTGGGTCCTAGATTTGATGACTACTCAGTGAATTCTTGTTATCTAGCAATGAAACTTTAATGCAAGTCTAAACTAACAAACTAACAAAGCAAGTAAACTGTTGTATTCAGGTTAAGAGAGGTCACCCGGATATGGTTCCCCCTAGACTGCAGTTAAGCCGGATTGTAATTACCAAGTTCAGTTTCTATGATAGTTATACTGCGGAAGGTTCTTAAACAGCCTGAAGTCTCGACTAAAGGTCTTCAGACCCTCTCAATCTGAATCTCTAGCGGGCGACTAACCTCCACCAGAGTAAACAGATTGAGGCCTTAACAAACAAAACCTCCACTACCGGAGTAAATCCGGTACAGAATAGTGAGTTGGCTCCTCGACTAAAGTCACCAACTCCCTACCTTCAATCAAGGATGCTCTATCAACCTAGGCAGATATTCTCATTCTAGGTTAAAGCAGAAACAACAGGAATTTGATCAGGATTCAAGTCATTCAATCATTCAAACCTCAATCGAATATAATCAAATCATAGAATCAGTACTTGGGTTCATACAATCAAAGCCTAACATACAAATCTAGGGTTCTCCATACCCAGATGAATGGGAGAACTACTCCATGGAGAAAGAAGCAAAAGCAGAATCAGACGCGGAATTCATACTGTGAAGGATGGATTCCTGCTCCTGGACGTTGATCGGCACTTCTCCAAGCTCAAACTGGCCTCCAATGGTGTTGAAGATCAATCTAGGGCACTTGGAGACTCTTGTTCGTCGCTTTCCCTCTCTAGGAATCGCTCTATTTCTCTCAAAACTCGAATCCCCTTCTCTTTGGCTGAAAATCTGCTTAAAAGGGCATCAGTGGCCAAAGCACGGTCGAGGGCACGGCCGTGCTTTGCCTCGGCCCGCCCGTGCTTTGGCTAGGGTTAATTACACGGCCATTGTGTTGGGAGAAACACGGCCGTGCTTTTGGGTGGACACGGCCGTGCTTTGGTGAAACACGGCCGTGTAATTTCTCAGCCCTGCCCGTGTAATCGGCTCATGTTTGCCAAACTCGAATTAGCTCTCGGAAGTAAAAGCACGGCCACAGAACACGGCCGTGTTCTGTTTTAGGTGTGCCCGTGTTTTGGCTCCAGCTCCACGAAATGACTTCCGAATGCTCCGAAACTCGTGCTTAGCCTTCCCTTTTACACCTGGGACCTGAAATATGACAAAATAGCACAACCCGGCGTAAAATAGGCCAAAATACACGACTATGCCTCTCAAACGGATAAGAATTAGGGGAGCAAATACGTGCAATTACATCGTTATCACTTGGAAATTGACTTCCTTGAGGGCTGGCGAGCTTACATCAAAATAGAGACTTTTAGTAGCCGTCGGTACCATGTGGTACTACTTGGTATGTACATAAGATTATATCACGTGATATGGAAGTGTATCATGCTGGTATGAACACACCAGAGTGTAAAATGGTTGGATACATGATAGTGAAAATATATTAACTGTCATTTACCACCTTTCATCAATGTATACCAGAAGATACCATCATGTACCAAGGTGGTATAGGGTAGTAATTTTTGACCTGAAAATTTTGTCCCTGGAAATTTGTAGATCTAATAGATTATGACAAAATAGTTCCTTTTGGAAAACTTATCAAATTTTCCAATTAAAAACGAAGGTGGTATCAGGATGGTAAACGAGTGGTGTGGGTGGTATGAAAAAAATTTCCTCGAAATACATTGAAGAGATATATCATTTTATAGATTCACAATAAAATTGTTCCATCTGTGTAATTTTTTTTTTAATTCCAATTTAGAACGAATAAGATAAAATAACTTGTAGGTAAAAATAACTTACCTTACAAAAAATTTGTGTAAGACAGATTGATGAGATTATCATTGAAAGAATTATGTTTAATTGATGATTTGTTAAAATAAGATTAATTATTGATATTATACAACTTTTAACATGCCATTTCAAACAAAAGGCTGCTCACGAGCAAGGTTGTCAACCCAGTTTAGCTCCTAGGTCATTTCAAGTAAGTGGAACGAGGGTTAATGGTCTAATCGCTTAAATTCTGTTTAGCCCAAATATATGAAAAAGTCATTATATTAATCATACATATTTAAGTTATATAAAATCTCTATCTAACATATGATAATAACATATAACAATACACTAACATAATAGGCGAATAGGAAAACCAGAAAAGAGATGCAATTCACAAATCAAAAGGAAAAATGATGTCATGTGACCTCCCATCAGAAAATCTTTATTGTGGGTCTTCAAATTTTTCGGATTTTGACTGGGTTAAGGCAAGTTTGACTATTTCGACGATTCTTTAAACAGGTGTGTGATGCCCGTTTTCTTCACTAAATTCGGGTCAACTGGTGGATATGTCAAGAACCAGTTAGTTCTAATAACTCGAGTTGTTGGGAGAGGTTCAATAATGGATCTTATACCACTCACTAACACACCAGTCAACTCATAAGGGCTTTCGTTTACACATGTCATGAACACGATAATACATGTGCTTCACAAATGGGGTCACAGCCGGGATTCGAACACAAGAACTCATAAGGGCTTTCGTTTACACATGTCCTGAACATGATAATACATGTGCTTCACAAATGGGGTCACCGTCGGGATTCGAACACGAGACCTCCTTACCACAACAGGCTCTGATACCATATCAAGAACCAATTATTTTCAATAACTCTAATTGTTAGGAAAAATTCAATAATAAATCTTATACCACTCACTGACAGGATCAACCCACTGATCGACAACTTGCTCGCGAACTGAATTAGACTTTATTGTCTACTATAATAGATCTTATACCATATCTTTAAATCTACTATAAAGAACTCAATAGACTTTATTGTCTCTAGCTAATTAAGGACGATCTCGTCGTTGCTTCGTTGCCGGCAATCTTTCAGAAAATGGAAGTTCTGGAGCGATACGCAACGACTTGGATAGACACCACAAGTCTTGGGGATCGGTTAGCTTGACTACCCCATGGAGGGGACTGATTTTCGACACCCCCATCCACAACCGTCCATCTAAATTAGTGGTGATGTAGGGTGAGGATTGAGCAGCCTTTTTTGTGCATTAAATCCTTCATTAGCTGGCGTCACCCACGTTGGAAAGGGGAAGAAATTTGGGGACTTGGAAAAAACTATTTGACTTTCCCCTTTTGATTATTTCCCCTTTCGTCTCTCCCACCAGACGACCAACCCTCCTCCTTCCATCACCAGCAGCCGGCCATCTTCGACCTTCTTCGGCGACAACAATGGAGGTTGTTCCTTCCACCGATCGAGAATCAACCTGCCAACCAACTCCTTTCCTCTTCCCTTTTGCTCTATTTCCGTCAACCACCTTCCATCGGCGACACGACTTCGAACAACTAACGATTTCATGGAACTTGTCTCCGTCCTCCCGAAATCGACAGTAGGTGTTGGGTTTTACTCCCTTACATTTTCCTCTTTCTACTCTTCTTTCTATATTTTTTTAGGTCTTTCTTCTTACTACCCTCCTCACCTTCTCGGCGAAGATGACGGCCTCCTCCCGTTCCCGACGATGACGACGAAGAATCTGAGGTAGCTCTCTCTCCCAAACCCAGATCTGGGTTTTCGTGTGGTATTAGTACTAGTTCAATGGTATTTTCATTACCCAGATATGTGTCTTTGAGTTTCTAGGTATGGATTTTTTCATGTGGTATTAGTACCAGTGTACTGGTATTGATACCGGTGCAATGTTACCACTGCAATGGTAGTTCTACCACTGTTTGAGTTTCTGTTGAACGTTATCAGTGATAAGCTTTTTATTCTCGTGGTGTTTGTACCAGTGAAGTGACATGTCTTACCAGTGTAGTGGTACTTTTTTGCAGGTGCTCGGAGGGAGTCAGCAGGTGCAAAGATGTATTGGTAATTCTACCACTACAGTGATAGTTGTCTTACTTATCGAACTCGTATTTCTATAAAATGTTTATTGTGGCTAATATTTGTACCACTTTCAATGGTAGTTCTGTTTCCAATTAGTTGAAGGTGTGTCTTTCATCGAAGTAGTATATAATGTTTTTTATGGCTAGTAAAAGTACCACTCCAATGACAGTTTTGAGTTGTCTTACTTATCGCTAGTTGTTTATGGCTAGTTGTCTTACTTATCGCTCTCACATTTCTATCACTTCAATGATATTTCTGATTATTGTCTTCCTACCCAATGACCTCAGGAATGGCCATGACAAAGAGGAAACGGTAAAAGTTGAGATAGGCCAAGCTCCTGCCTCGAGTGCGGGTACCAACAAAAAATGGCGTCGTGAGAGCCAGTATAAGGAACAATACGCTAGGTCTCAACTAAGAAATACATCATCATGGAAATATTGTGGTCTCCCCGCTTTTGAAGTTTGGAATTGAATTTATTATTTTTCTTTGTCGTAATTATTGGTTAACTTCTTTCAATTTCATGGAAATATCTTTGCCGACGAGTAATAGAATAGAAATGGTCTTCGCACAACTTTAGCGGTAGTCATACTACTTCATTGGTACATATATACTACTAAACTTGTATTATACCACTAGACTGGTATACATATCAATTAACTGGTACTTATACCACTGAACTGGTACTAATTAAGACTGTCCTCAATATACCAATACTCATACTTACTTGATCATGAAATATAATTCTGGCACAAGCAACACAATAAACATTTCAATCAGTCAACAAAATAGGAACTTTCCATTAGTAGCCAAAAACTGTGTTCCAAAATGGGTTGCAAAATTAGGGAAATGCCAACAACAATGCCAAAAGCAATAAATTATCCTTCGAATGTGAATAAACATAAAGCCTTCACAATTTTTTTAAGCCTAAACAGGACATATGGTTAAACCTAAACAGTATCACTCCACTAGTACACGTACCACTCCACTGGTTCACGTACCACTCCATTGGTGCGTTTCCTTTTTTAAGCCTAAATAGTATCACTCCACTGGTACACGTATTTTTTTAAGTAGGGTCAATTTTTTTAAGCCTAAACAGTATCACTCCACTGGTACACGTACCACTCCAATGGGAAGTTGCTTGTTTGTTTACGTATCATATTGGTTGTACATATATCAGTTCAGTGGTACATGTATTAGTTCACTAGTATATCAGTTCAGTGATACATGTACCATTTCAATGGTACCACTCCAAAGTCTATCGAACACTGCAATGGCAACATTTAGGATGAGTTTCAATTTTGCTAATGGTACAAGTTCAATATATCTAACACTACAAGTGGGTTGTAACATTTTGGTGTTGAAAGTATGGCTTGAATAGTTGCACTCATACTAGTATCAGGTCAGTGGTACATGTACCAGATCAGTGGTACATGTTCACGACAGTACCGACGTCTCCTAGACATTGTAGAGTTGAACTTCAATACAGGGAGCCGTAAGTAACAACCTCCCGCCGCCCTCCATGTTATTCTTCATCTCTGGCGGGTTTATTTTCGGTGGCCATCAATCCCTCCTGCGTTCGGGATGAGAGTCCGATCTCGTCTTCACCCCCATCATTTGATGTTGCACAAGAGTCGTCGTTCTTGGCATGTCGAGAATCGTCGCGCGGAATGTTGGATCCGTCTTCCCTCTCGGTGTGGCCTTCATATGTTTGATCTTCGTTGATAACCTTGCGTCTTGTCCTCCGACGGCAAGCAACCCACTCGATAGGTCAGAGGCGATCCCAGGACGGCGGCGGATGGAGATAGGAGGATGGTGATGGGGGGAGACGCAGGAGGAGTACGGCGGTTGTAGGGATGGAGGCGGCACAAGTGGAAGGCGTGGATGAAGAGGGCGGAGAGGGGTGGTGGCGGCGACGGGAGGAAGAGGAAGATGAAAATGGGGGAGGGTTTTGGTCATTTCAGAGTACAGGAGGCTTCTGGTGAAAATGAAATCAAAATGGACAGGGGGTCCAAATGGAGAGAAAAGGAGACGAAAGAAAGACAAAAATGGCAATTAATTGCACATTTGGGGGGTGCTTTTTTCTCGTTCCCCAAGTTCTTTCTCTTTCCAATGTGGGTGAGAGAACCAAAATTACAAGATTAAAAAAATAAAAAACAAGTTTAATTAATACTTGTCAATGATTAAAAATAAAATTAGTCAATCATAAAGGGGGTGTTAAAAAGTCAACCCTTTGGGGATAGGCATAGTATCCGACCCCAAATCTTGTTCCCATTTGAATTTGGCGTGATTTACGAATTAATCAAGGTTTTTTTTTTATACGAATTAATCAAGGTTTGATCCATGATCAGTTGCAAACCATTAATTACGGATTAAAGGCCCTCAAGTTAACGGAGAACTCAAGAGGGGAATGCCTGCAGGAAGAATAATATGGGTGGCTAGTGGCTACTGCCGATTGAATGGTTTTGATATTATTATTATTATTATTATTATTATTATTATTATTATTATTTAAATGTTCTGTCAGGTAGGTAAGCTAAACTTCTGCACAACCATTTAATCAAATGTGACATTTTCTACAACTTAATTTTACTATTTAACCATACATTGCCGTTCTATAACAGTTACGTAAATTACAAATACCTTACTTAAACATTATAGAGTAATAATTATTTATATATCAATACTAAACAAATATATTACGTAATTCTTTCATAATGATTAGGATACTAATTAAATCTTTATATGACGAGATAATTATTTCTTATATTTCTCCATTTCAAGAAGATTGTCAAAGGTTTCATGTTGTACCGTGGCAAATTGTCAGTGGAAACTCAAACTGCTTAATTTTTCCATTTTAACCCTATAAATTTTAAATTCTGTATTAATTGTGGTCCCAAAACATGGCTAATCTTTTTTCAGTTCACATTTTGGTCTCTTACATTTTTGTGTATTCCATTCAAGGTTCAATCTGGTCGCTCCATATATCTCACGTATACAATGTAACCACAGTGCTGCAGATTGCATTGCTAACCGGTTGTAATTAGGGGTGTGCAAGGGGTTGGTCCGTACCGGATCGCATCTGAACAGATCGATGCTTGGACCGGATCACACGGAATCAAATACAATGTCGTTCGTTCTTTGATCTTATGATGTCTTTGACTATTGTACTGCGGCTCCTGTTAGTTTGGTTTGATCCGGTCCAAACCGAACCATTGCACACCCTTGGTTGTAAAGTGTAATATCCAAGAATTGCATACATTAGAGAAATTACAATATCTATGAAATATTCAAAATTCATTCAATTAATCAATATAAATTAGGACACCCTGTACATCCTCGCTTATGAGAAAAACACTATTTTAGAACATTGTTTAGCTTGAATAATAAGTGTTATATAAGGACAACGGTAATTAAATCACAAAACACAAATTATGACATGAAGCAAATGATGAAGCCTGACTTTGAATTAACCTCAAGCATGGGTAAGTGGAAACTTGATAAATTAAATCTTCAACGAGGGCTCTGTTTTCACTTTCTTACGGCCTTTTTTCTCATGCAGTTTACACTACTCAATTTACCACGATGATAAAAAAGAGGAAATGAAACCCGACATAATAATAGGCAAATTTGCGTGTGTGCTGTTTGTCCATGCATGTTTGTTACCAAAGTCAACTCAACTACTCATTTCTTAAGACCATAATCTTGTCTCATGCTGATCATAATTCCTCGAGCAGATGTCTTTACATGGTTCGTTTGTAGATCGACCAGCATGCCGACAGGGTGAAAAAGCTTTGTCATTTGAGTCGTGGAAAATATCTCCCCACCCAAAAAAGTTGGATGAAAATGGAGATCTTACAAGTCGTGCATAATCTTACGCAACAGCGGATCCAAAACACAGTAGCGCACTGGGCCGCATTTCATTAGAAATTAGATACCGTGGAAAGGATAATTATTATATATTTTTTACAATGTCAATTGTTCACGATGGTGTTTTAATTTAGCGAATGCATCAATAATGGAGTCTACATCCATACCAATAGTATGCTCTATTTCAAATAAAATACTTGAGCAACCGGTGAGTAATTCATCGCTCATTTTGTTGCGCTAATCAGTTTTCACATGTTTCATTGTTGATAAGGTTCTCGTCGTAGTAGCTGTTGAAACGGACAGCGTCAACACTAAAATCAATTGACTAATCAACTTCCATTGTGTGTCCATCCCTATATCCAACAGCTGCTCTAGTAAATTTTCAATGGAATAAATCTCATATTTCTTTTATTAGTCTTTTACACTTTTGACTTTTAGAATTTTAGGTTCCGTTGTTTTGTTTAGATGAAAATCTTTGAGGTTAGAATTTATAAGCAAAATTTAGAGTAGTTATTTGCATATGTTCATATGAATTATTTTTCTAGTTACACACAATTTTATTACAAAATAACACTGAACCGAATGTCTAAAATAAAAAAAATTCATAAGGACTATACTAACTTTGGATCCAGAGGAGGGCTGGGTTGGGACCTGGGTTGGCCACCCCCTGTATCCGCCAATGATCTTACGTCTACTTTTTACTAGGATTAATGGTGAAAAATGCTATTATGCGGTAAAAATCATCACGCGATATTTGATTTACAGTTGTTTTGATGTACATAGTGAAAAATTTATACACGCATATACTTTATATATAGTTTTTTAGTCGTCGCACCCATAATTTGACGTTATAAGAAAATAATTTCATCAACACCGGGTAAACTGCAAGTTTGGTCATTGGATTTACTAAAAATTTCACGTTAAGTCAATAAAAATATTGTATTTCATTCGTGACCACTACAATTAGTTCAACAGTTTGAAGTTGGTCACTCTCAATTAGTCACCGTAAAATTTATTTAATGTGTTTTTTTTTTTTTTTTTTACTCACTTGTCAGTTGTCACACATTATTCAGCAATCCTGCTTAGAGCACGGGCTTTCCATCCTAGTAGAGAATTAAGAGGCTGGGCCTGGGGTGGTCTAGTACAGTACAATTCCATGGGCCCAAAGCTCAGACCAGGTTTCAGGCCTGCAATGAACTTCATACACAACACCACAAAGACACTATACAAAAAGGCTCGTATTTTGCTGAATAAAGAGAAAGAAACAGCAAAATCACAAACGGGGCACAAAAGTGAACCGATCTCCCCGCAGAAAGGTGTCACATTCGAACGAGCTGCTTTTGCCGCCGGCCGGCCGGTCACCCTTTTCCTTTCTTCAATTTAAAGCTCTCTCCCGGGCCCAAAGAAAAAAAAAGTACCGCCACATTCGAAATTCCAAAGCAGCATCATGATCAATATAGTAATACCCATTAAAGAGGATTCTTAATGCTGTAATTAACAATAAATCTACATCGAATTAACCACATTATTCTGTTCCCCTTTCACACCCAGATGGTGATTATTGTTGTCATGATTACTACTACTACTATGATTATGTTGTTGATGGTGGTGGTTGTGGTGGTGCTGCCGGAAAATCCATCTCCAGCTCTTGAAGCTCTTCCGGCTCCGCTTAATCCCTCTGTCACTCACCGACACCCGAAAAGACCCGCCGTTTCCATCCCCTCCCGCCATCCCGTACTCTCCCGCCTCCGTCGGCGGCGGCTTCGAATCCGACGGCGGCTGGAAGTCGAATTTCAGGTCGATGAATCCCGAGTCGTCGACGGCGGTCGTGAAATTGCCTTCGCGGAGCGAGAAACCCCGCTGAATCGGGTAATCCCTCTTCTGATTCTCGACGACATCGAACCCGCTCTTCCTGGGTTCTGACTCGCTGTACCCGCTTTTCCTGTCCGGGTCGAAAACCAGCCCGTTGAACCCGGAGCTCCGTGCGGCGGAGATGGAGCTCCTGGCGCCGGAAACAGAGCTTCTCGCCCCTGAATACGTCCCGTCCTCCGACCCCGCGAAAAACCCACCTCCGCCGCCGCCGCCCCTGAAGCTGCACAACGATCTCGACCTCGAAACCATCCCGCCGCACCCACCACCAGCCGCGTAATCGCCGTCGAGAACCCACAGGTCGCCGTTCCGGTCTTCAATTCCGGCGACGCTGTGCGGAATTCCGTTACCGCTTCCACTACCCACCTTGTCCTTCGACCTCCTGGTGAAGAACCTCCCGATTTTCCAGAACCCGCCTTTCCGGCGCTTGATCTCCACGCAGCTGCTGCTGCTCCGCTTCAAGATCAGAACTTCCGCTGCAGCCGCCGACGAAGGCTGCAGCGGCGGTTTGCTGGAATTCGATCGCTTAAGACTGCAGGAAGGCTGAGATTGAGCATCGTTCTCAATCAGGAAGGAGACGCGGCCGACGCTTCCCAATTCCAGATTGGAATTGCTGGAATGCGAGGCGCGATTGGGGGAAATTTCGCCGCAGGAGCAGGAAGAAAGCCGCTGCTCGCCGCAATCGGAGCAGAGCAGGGTGAGGAGGCGCTCTTTGAGGCAGTGTGGGCAGATTCCGACGGGAGGGGAAGAGGAAGGGTGTCGCTTGCAGGGGAGGTAAGCGGCAGAGTCGTCGTGGAAGAACAAGTCGCCATTGTTGTTGTTGTTGGTCGAATCCAGAGCTTTTCCTCTGTCTCTCATTGTGAATTGTTGTTGTGGGGGGGGAAATGGAGTGAGGGAGAAGGAGGAGTAGAAGAAAGGAAGAAAGAAGGGGGAGCAGAGGAAGGAAAGGTGAAAGTGACAGAGGAGAGTACGGGAGACAGTGAGAGAGAGAGTTAACGTAGGAGGGGGAAGAGGAGAAGGCGTCAGCTTTACGTTTTGGTTTGCAGAGGCAGGGGAATGAATGAAAGAAGGGATTTGTCAAGAGTGTGCAGTGGGTTATGATATGAATGGAGAAGGAGAAGCAGCAAGCAAGCGAGCGGCTAGGCTATTAGGAGGAGTGACATCAAGTTTCGATTTTGAGTGGGTGGGACTTTGAGAGGAGTAGTGGCCAGCAATGGCCCAAAGTAGTTGCTATATCTCGGTTTCGAGTGTTTCGAGTTTGATCATTTTGATTTTTGATTTTTATAGATTGATTTTAAAAAATTTAGATTCAAACTCAAACAAAAAAAAATTGAAAATCACCGTTGGTTTATGATTAGGTTGGGTCAGGTGGACTATATTTAAGTAAAAACATCAAAATGCACACAAGTAGTTGTTTGGATCTTGATGAAGTGCAATTTGTTTCAACATATGTCTAGCAGTTTCTTTAAATATCTGTTGAAATAAACTAAAGAAGTTATTCATTAGCTTAGTTTGGCCCTGCTGTAGCTTTTGCAGAAGCAGCTTCTGGCTGAAGCTTTTAGATAAGTACTTTTCAAAAAAAAGCAGTTTAGTGTTTTGCTGTAAAACTATTAGAAGTGCTTTTTAATATGAGCAGTTGTGTAAAATGACTATAATGGACTTATAATATAAAATAAAAATAAAAATTCTAAACAATAAAAAGTAATCAAAATGGATCTTGTTAGATTTCTTTGATATTAAATAATACGAATTTATAATTTATTTTATTTTTAAAATGATATAAATGAAGGAAAATTATATTTTCTGAAATAAAATTAAAATATGGTAAAGATAATCTTGTATTTTCAAAACAGCTTTTCGCAGAAGCTCCAAATGGGAGCTTCTGCTTTTATGTTATACAAAAGCGCTTTTCAGCTTTTCAAAAGCCGAGCTTTTAGAGGTGTTTGGCCCTGCTTCAGCTTTTGAAGCCGAAAAGCACTTCTAAAAGCCGGGCCAAACATAGCCATTATAACCTTAACGCATCCGTAATGTGATATTCTTCTGAATTGCATACATATACCCAAAAAAAAAAACCAATGTGAACCATGATCTATATTACATGCGGTTAATTACTTAATAGCAAGGTTGGTCACTGGGTTTACTAAAATGGTTCACATATGGTCACTGAAAATATTTAAATTCATTTGACTTTACTAGCTTTATTCTTTCGTTTCATCAAAGGTCACTCTCCGTCCATTTTATTAATTTTTAATTGCCATGCCGCATATTTAACGGTCAACTATAAGAGTTGATTGCCACGTAAACAAAAGTTAACGAAAATGGACGGGGAGTGACCTTTGATGAAACGAAAGAATAAAGTTAGTGATCACGAATGAATTTAAATATTTTCAGTGACCATACGTGAACTGTTTTAGTAAAACCAGTGACCAACCTTGCAATTAACCCATATTACATACATCTAATATGACAACATATCTAAATTCCCTCACAAATATAAGTCCAATGCAGGTTGAACTCTCTTCAATCTAAGCCTCACTCCCTCTTTGAGCATTACAAGGAATTTTAGGCCTAATGACAAGAGTTTAAAGTATGGGTTAAAACCATAGGTGAAAGATAGCCTACACAAGCTAGGCCTAACACAAGGCCCCATATAGATTCAGCTTAGGGGTTTATGAGAGATTGATGGACCTAAGCTAAACTTATATATAAGATTGAACCTAAACCAAGTACCTATGTTGCGAATAGCCCAGGACTACCCCCTGACGTGCTTTACCATGAGCTTGGGTCGAAGCTAGGGTGATGCCTTACCATTGATCTTCTCGATCCACCCGGCGGAGGAAGATGCTTGAAGGATAAAAAGGGAGATAAATCGCTATTTTACCGAATGAACCCGGTCTAACCACCAGTTATAAAGGTAGCAAAGAAAGTGGAAAAGTGGATCAACTTTCTTTTAGACAAATTACTGGCCTATCTCATGTTGCTATTTTAGCTGTCATTGCCGTTACGTTACATATATTTTATTCTTTGACCCGGGCAAGGGAAGGGCAGAAAGGTTGGTTCTTCGATGACCCTTGGCATAGTTAAGATTGAACAAATAGTTGCTTAAAACAATAGTTGCAACACAGGTTAGGTTGGATATCTACGAGATGCATAATCCAAAATCCATACTCAACTCAAGAGAACCCTTCTACCAATTTTAAACCTTAATTTTTAATGATAAATACAAGTGAGTTGGATATAATTGAATAAGTGAGTTGAGTGAGAATTATTTTTGTTCACTCATACCCAAAAGCTTCTCTTCTCCATCTCCTCCCTTTTCCTTTTATTTTAGTTTCTATTTTTCCCTTTTCTTTCCTTTCCCCCTGTCTTTTCAAATTTTTAATTTATTTTCTAACATTTTCTTCTTTTCGTCTGTATTTGGGGAAAATATAGTAGGTTTAGGTTTCGTTTGGCACGACTGCATGCATTTCAAGAAATTGGGTGTTGTATTAAAGGTAAAAAAGTGTGGGAATGTTGAAAATGAGAATGGAAGAATATGTATGTTGTTCCAAGGAGATCTGATGGCCATAATTTTTATTGTCCTAAATTGTTGTGGTGTGAGTGTGAAAGTTAAGATATTTATGTTCCATTAATCATTTAGTTCTTAACTTTTTCATATGTTTTTCATGCTATTTGAATATTTTATATATAGTAAAGGCGTGATATGGTCATTAAATATACTTCAATGAGTTCTGATCAATCTCATTTTATTGTTTTCAATTAAATTGAACTTTAGATTTGGGTTAATAGAATCGTATTTTGTGGTTTATTTATTAGAGGTTATAATATAGTATCATAACGAGAATTGAGACCTGGTCTTTATCTAATAGAAGTTATGGTATAGTATCATTCACACTCCAACTCAATTTAATTTATGGTATAAATAGAAATATCTCGCTTAAAATAACTTGAGTGTAATATACTCCAAATTACTCCAATATGATCCATTTTGGGAAACGTTTTTGGCCGCTCGATTTACTTGTGGGTTGGGCATTCCCTAGTGAGAAAACATGAACAGCTTTATATATCCATCAATCAATTGATGAAGGTGATAAATCAAATAAACTCAAAAGGCCTTTTTCTCCCAGATTTTCCACTCTAGCTATAGCTTGAGTATGAACTTTCATGAGCAACACGACATTGGCGAAGTAGTGAAATGAAGGTTGCCCAACCCATCAAGCTCAAAAAAACTTTCCCATCAAAGATTTTTAGCAACAACAAACCAGTCATACATTTGTCCATCTCCTCCGCCATAATTATCTTCATATATACTCTACATATACTTGTTTGAGCCCAAACGATTGAGAGTTGTTTGGATCCAAGGGGTTTGGAACATGATCACTGAAGGCATGTGTCCCGTCTCTTAGAAGAGTAGAGAAAAGAAGTATAGAGAGAGAAAGTAGAGAGAAGTTAGAGTACATATTGATAGCTTGTTATTTATGAGTAGATAACTCATATTTATACAAATTTAGATGTTAGGTGTGTAGTTGTCAAGCAATAAATGTCGTGGTCGGGCTCCCAGAAGTATATGTAACTGTACAATGTACTTCTGGTCAAAATGTGTCTCATGGTGTAGAGGGTGTCCCCTCTGACCTCTTCCTTGCTGATGTCAGATGTGTCAGCTAGTTCTTTGATCTTATCTTCTTCTTAGACTCCTCCCTTTTCCCCTATGATGATATTAGCCCTAGAGTTTTGCCCGTAAGCCTTGGTTTCTCTCAGACTCTTCTTGTGAGCTCTACTCTAAGTATTGAATCTTGGGTTCATACCCTATCACTTGCCTAATTACATTATACAGTTTCGTGTAGCAAATCCAGAAATATGTATGTGTTCGCCACTTGTCAATATAGCCTATTTTCTGCTGACCTGATCACATTTGCTTGAATGGTTGGTATAAATCGCTAACTAACAAGTTGAGTTTGAATTAATTCTGGTCCAACTTGTTAGACTCATGAGCTAACTCTATAAAATACACATCTAAAATTTTGGTATCAAATTAACTATATATTGACAAGATATTTATTGATTAACTTATAAAGTTTGTGGCTATATATATTTCTTTGATTTCCTAAATTCGATTGCTATATTAGAAGGAAGTTAGCGTTGTTGATTCAATCAAGAGGCCGACATCTATGCCAACTTGACTCGTTGAGCTTACTTGTAGAGTCAAGCTCGAGTTTTACCAATTAATCCCACTTGCTTAATCGAGCGTGAGTTGGGTCAAGCTCAAACTAAAATGTTAAAAAATGAGTTGACTCAAGCCAAGTTCATGCTACAATTTTCACAAACAAGTCAAGCTTGAGCATATTTGAACTCGTGCCCGAGTAGACCTCCAGTTAGGAAACGACTCGACTCAGCCTGGTTAATCAGCATCCCTACAAGTGAATTAGATTGTTTATACGAGTCGACGTTGTTGGATAATGTCATGCATGCATGATCTCACCTGCTCAATGAATATATCCATATCCTATATAAATAATTTCATCACGTTTCGTAGACGACAGTGATGTTATCCAACCATATAAACGCTCTTGAATAGTGGAATTGCATAAAATACATACTTATATCCGTTTTAATAATTTGAATAACTAGAACCAATTGATTCGTGATAACCCATGTAGTATAACGAGATAATTGGAATGAAGTATAATATAGAGAGGGTTGTGATGCAGCCTATGGGAGGCAGGGTTTCGATGAATTGATGATGGCTTGATGGGTGGAGATTTAATGGTGGGAGGGTGATGATGATTGATGATCAATGATCAATGAACAAGCTTAGCTAGGTTGTCAAAGTGAGGCATGCTGCAGGAAATCAGAGTACCAGAGGCCATTTGTAAGTGGGAAGTCAAATTCTAAAAAATATAGTGGGCTGAATGATCGATCGATGTTTTTGGTGGTTTATACGACAACAACAACATGTGTCACAGTCCAGGAAAAAAGCAAAGAGAAGCACACACTACAGAAACATGACATTATTATAGTTGTTTTTCTTCCTTCCTTCCTTCCATCTTTGCTTTGCTCTTTATAGCGTGTCGTGGTGGACTTTGCAAACCTCTCTTTGTTGCTTTTCTTCCTCTCCTGTCTCTCTCTGTTCTCTCCTTTTCTTGTTGTAGTCAGTGAATACATGGCTGGCCCCTCCATTAGAGAATAATAGAGAGGCCAAAATAGCACAGACACAGCCCACACGAGTGCTTGTTTTAAAAATAGAAAATTCTTTCTC